GGGGGTGGGGTGGGGTCGGGGTATGGCAGGAAGGGTAGACGTGTGGGAAGGGTCAGGGTTGTGTACAGCAATGTTGTGATGACAGGCAATAGTGGAAAACCAGAGAAGCTTGAACTTGTGCAGGTGACTTAAGTAAACATGTTTCTCATAATGGAATTAATCCTGCATGCAAGTCTCTGAGAAGGCAAGCACTTGGTTCCACTACTGTAGACCTTGAATGCTTCTCCAGAGAGTATGGCAACTTGCCACACAGCTTGTCCCTGAGTTGCACTGAGTCCTGATATGGCAGCTTCCAGAGAGGGCAGGTAATGCCAAGGTCTAAAGGTGACATTTTCAAGGTCACACGGAGTTAGTGCAGGACAAGTTTCCTGGCACCAAACACCAGCTAGCTTACCACTCTTAATTTGTCGTGCCCTTTTACCTTCCTGCTGGCAGAACAGGACCCATTAGGTCATTAGAAAATTAAAGGTTATTTTATTTGAAACTGTATAGCGTTTCTTGAAACTAGAACCTTGAAACCTTGAAATTAGACAGCGTTTCTGCTTTGGGACTATTCCAAGCTCATAAAGAAGTCTGTGCAGAGAGAATGAATAATAGCTGTGTTGAACACAGAACCTGTAGAGGAGTGATTGTGATCCAGTAGGGCCCGCGTGAGGTTAGTTTGTGCTTTACCCTGTGTGTGCTCTATTTACAGGGTCATGTAGGCACAACAGCAACCAAGAAGATCGATGTCTACCTCCCCCTGCACTCGAGCCAGGACAGACTGTTGCCAATGACGGTGGTGACAATGGCCAGCGCCAGGGTGCAGGACTTGATCGGGCTCATCTGTTGGCAGTACACAAGCGAAGGACGGGAGCCGAAGCTCAAGTAATCCTTTCTCTTTTGGCTGGTCTCCAGTTCCTGGTTGTGTTCTGGCCACGCACACTGCATTCTGTGCTGGGTCAGTCTTTCTAGGCATGGCTTGTGAAGCAAACCTCCACACTGAACCAGCCCAGGTTGCTCACCAGATTTCAGGCTTGCCAGGCTACCACTTAAAGAATCTGCTTGTAAAATAAACTGTTGAAATTGTGGATCCAGACATGAGGACATGGAGTTCAGCCATTTCCAGACTCCTTTCTGATGCTGCAGGAGAAAGATGGGACTGTTTGCTTCTGGAAAGATTTACACCCATGTAAACCCGATGTGGCAGTTACACTCGGTCCTCATGGGTCACAATGAGTCAGGATTGACTTAGTGGCAATGGTTTGGTTTCAGCTGTAGTTTTGTTTAATGGTACCTGTTGATGAAAGCAGTATTGGAGGAAATTCATGTTTTCCAGGCACCTATGTCAAGCTAGACACTGTTCTGTATAACTTGTGCATGGTATCTTGCTTGCTTGACCCAGCTCTCTGGGAGACTAATGTTATGATCCTCATTCTGCTGAGAAGAATCAGTCAGAAATTTGTTACCAACGTTTCAAACCAGTTCTTTCCAGTTCGACCCCCTGCTGAGAATTTGGTCAAACAAAATGAACTGGTGTGTTCTGGTTGTTACTTGCTGACCACTACCCAGATGAGAGAGGACAAGATTTGATTCCAGGCTTGTCTGATGCCAAGGTTTTTTCATTATTTGTTTCAACCTCTTATGGAACTTTTGGTCGGAATTATTTTATCAATCAGTGGGTCAGTTTTCTTCCAATCGCTAGACTAATCTTCCTCAATTAAATAAATTATATTAAAAATGTAGAGTCTGTTTGAAAGTAGTTTCAGCTTGCATGTAACTCAAACTTTAAAGTACTTTTGCTGCATTAGTTCTCCCCTATGAATTTTGTGTTTTGCATGCCCTTTCCAATAATAGGTTTGGAATACAGCTGAATGTAGTGGATGCCTTCATTTTGAAAATGACTTTTAATGCACAACACACTCTTCTCATCTTACATTTTCAGAGTTAGTATGGTCCAGTCAGCTGATAGTTTTGTTTTTTAAGACACATTAAAATCATGCATAGAATTATACTTTTGAGTCCTCATTGACATTGCCTTCTATTTTGATTAATTTGTGGATATAAAAATAATCTTTGTTGCTCCAATGATAAGTAGGAAACCTTTTAAGTCAAGGAACCACCTAGGCTCAGAAAAGGATTGACTCAGCAGCTTTGTTGTTCATGTCTGAACTGTGTTGTCCATTTGGAAGCATGAAACAGAAACAAGCTGCAGGAAGGGGAGCTACCGTGCTATAGTGTATATATGTTATCTCATTTAACTCTTAAAACATAGTTTCGTGTAGACATTGAAACCAAGAGAGGTGGGAACTGGCCAGGGTCATATAGCTGGTCAGTAACAGATAGGAACTGAATTGTGACATAAGCATTTTTGTCCTTATTTTATAGATAAGGAAACTAAATTGAGTAATTGGCCTATATCATACTGTAAGTGATAGAATTGGCATTCCAACCCAGCACAGGAATCTCTTGACCTGAAGGTCCCAGATTTACATGATTCTATTATGCCCCTCCCATGGAGGTCTATTATAGGTGATAACAAAATATTTAGTGAGTCTTAGAAAGATGGTTCACTGAGGAACTTATTTTCTCTAGTAGATATTTTAATTGTCATAATATATCCAAAACAGAACCATTTTAACTTGTAGTCAGTATTAAAAAATGATTGAGATATATTGAATATTCTTTTTGGGGCAGTGGTAGACATAAGTCTTCACTATCAGTTTGTTGTTCTTGTTGTTGCTACTTATACTTTATTTCAATTCAAACTAGTCACAATTCAGGTATTCAATAGACACATATAGATAATTTTTAACCATGTAGGATAATGCATTTGTTAAGTATACCAGGACTTGATATAGCCAGACAATGAGAATAATTGTGGATTAACTTCATTCTGATATAACCTCAGTTATATAAAGCTCTTGGGGAATCTTGGTGATGTTTGTAGATAGTTGAGAATTTATACCATTTAGCTTCATACTCTTTATTTTAATAGATTTTCATCCTATACATACATTAATAATTTTCTCTACTTTGGTCACCAAAGTCATAATCTCTTTTTTAATTCTGACATTAACATTTGCTGTCAGGGTGATCTTGGTTGAGTTATTTAAACCCCATGTACTACAGTTTCTTCTAATGTCAAATAAGGGCAAAAATACCTAACCAGGTAGTTATAAAAATCTAATTTAAAAATGCATGGAGGTGCCCAGTGCTTATTCATCTCTGCTACTGCTAACTGCTATAACTACAGTTGGGTATAATTATAACCCATAGTAGTAATGTGTCAACCGCAGTAGTATAGGTTGGCCTTTTCTTGATAACCCAAGTGATATATAGGGATATTTGATCTAACATTTTATATTTAAGTAACTTTGCCATTTGACGCACTTTGTGCATCCTTTATACTATGTTTGCTGATTACACGTCTGCCTGCATTATATGCTTTTCTCCCCATTTCGAGATTGCTACTTCTCATTTTATGCCTTAGAGCAGCGTTTCTCAACCTTTGGGTCATGACCTCTTTGGGAGTCGAATGACCCTGTCACAGGTGTCACCTAAGACCATCGGAAAACACATTATTTCCTATGGTTTTAGGAACTGAGACACTGCTCCTCTATCTGTCTCTAGGCAGGTTCTCCCACATGCAGATATGCCCACATAAGAGTGCCCAGTGTGAATGAAGAATGTTACCCATGCTACACCATACTTCAAGACAAAATTTAATTTATTTTTAATTAGAACTATTTCACAATATATAATTACATATTGTTTTTGTGAATAATCACGCAGCTTTAATTACTGTATATACCTGAGTATAAGCTGACCCGAATATCAGCCGAGGTACCTAATTTTACTACAAAAACGGCATTTAAAATATGCTGGAAAACTCGGCTTATTCACGAGTATATATGGTACGTTCAATTTGTAACAATGAAAATACATCCTGCATATCAGAGATTTGCATTATGATTCATAACAGTCACAAAATTACAGTTAAGTGACAATGAAAATAATTTTATGGTTGGGGGGTCACCACAACATGAGGAACTGTAAGGGTCGTGAGATTAGGAAGGTTGAGAACCACTACCTTAGAGTCATCGAGAGCCACTCACCAAACCAGTGCAGCCTAAGCTTTCTAGTCTAATATTCAAGGCCCTTTACTTTCTGACCCTTATCTGTGTACCTGTTCATCCTACTGCCTTGTTTTTCTTTTTTCAACTACAGAATATAATTATATATTTAAATTTCCAAGAAAACCCAACCACCACTTACGAAAGAAAGTTTCTTTTTAAAAATTACACTTTACAGCTCTTAAAGTTGCCCTTAGCATTTATCTAAATTCTCCTAAGTAAACTCATTAGCCAAAAAATCTTTACAGGGAGCAAGAAAGCTTTTGCAAGCTATGTCAGTCCTTTTCTCACTTCTCCTAGCCGATAGGGATGAGCAGCAGGAGGAAGTTCAGGCAGGAGGTACAAGGGTTAATTTCCCACAGTACGACATGCCAGCTGAAGCTTGATGGGAGGAACAGAATTGGTGAGACTTGGGGGTCCAGGCCCTGTATTCAAAGTCACTGCGAGAAGAGGAGGAGGAAAAGGAATGCTTACCATGTTTGTGATGTTTGTGTATCTTCTTATAAGCTTTCCACAGTTTCTTCTGCATCTTCTTGTCCATCACCATTCCTGGTCCTACAATGACAGGAACCTAATGATCCATAGGAAGCATACCAGGGGCAGGTGGTGGATATGGAGGAAGGTCAGAGAGGTAGACTCTTGGGGTTGACATCCTGGATACCCTGGTTGTGGCACAGGTTGAGGGGACAGAAAGCTGGATTTTCCTCTGGGGATAGTGGATGGACAGGGTTGGAACCTCTAGCATATTTCATATTGGAGGATATGGATTTGGCCCCAGCTACCTGGCATGGGCATTCCACATGTTCAGGTGTTCCCCCAAGTCTTTACACAAACACATAGACTTGATTTGTCCCTTTTTTCCTAATGCCTTCATGACACCAAGACTACAAGGGGATGCCCCTCCCCCCAAAAAACTGGAATTTTCCCCCCAAAGTTGTGTATTTAATTTTTTCTACAAAACAACCACATCACCTTCAAAGTATACTCCATTGCACGTAATACATTTGTCAAATCTGCAATTCCATTCTTGGAAATATTTTTCAAACCCAACTGTTTGGATGGCTGGCAACACTTCCCTCATTTTTTTCTTTACCTCTACTACATAGTTAATTCGCTGTCTTTTCATGTCCATCTTCATTTGCAGAAACAAAAAGAATCACATGGAGTGAGGTCAGGTGAGTAAGGTGCTTGGGGCAAGAGAGGCAGGCTGATTTTTGCTCAAAACTGGCACACTGAGATTGCTATGTGAGCAGGTGTGTTGTCATGGTGGCAAAACCAGTCGTCTCCCTGCCCCCCTGGTCTGCCACAAATCAGGGCTTTTTTGGTCACACACTGGTATGCTATGTTTTCAGAACCTCTAAGTAGAAAGCTTGATTAACAATCGACATTTTTGTCCATTGGGAAGTTGATGGACATCCAGAATGAGGTTTGCCATCAATTGACATTTCACCTTTTTTTGAAACAAGAAAACCACTCATACACTTGAGTTTTTCCTTTAGCGCTGTCCTTGTAAGCTGTGTTCAACATCACAACAGTTTCTGCAGCATTTTTACCAAAGGAAACAAAATTTCATAGCCACATGCTGTTTTCTTAAATGACTATCACAAGAAAACAACATCCGAGTGAAACTGCTTTTATGAAAATATTCACTGTGATCAGAGGGAACCTTCCTAGGCAATGCTGCTGGGTGCACTAACTCCGAGTTGTTCAATGCTGGCCTAGTGGGAAAGAACGTATACTACAAAAGTTCCA